TGCTCCCCCTTTCACTTCTCCCTCTCGGCTTCTATGGCCAGGACCTGCTTCTAGGAATGGCTCACGGCCCAGTGCCCCAGGAGCGGGGAGCTCCCATCCCTGTCACTCAGCCATTGTGAATGCACACCATCCAGACTGGGCAGGGTTCTCACACCCTGCCTCCTCAGGGGTTGCTGGCCAGCCTGTAAGTGGCTGTTTGAGCTTTGGCACCAATTTCTGGCCAATCAGATGAGATCCCAGTCACAGGACACCCAGTATGGACCCGCCTGCACCCACATTCGTGCAGGAAGGGGCAGTACTGCTGCTCAGGCAGTGGGCACCGCCGAAGGTGGAAGTGACAGAGCCCCAGCCTTCATGGTTACCCCTCCTAGGCGCTGTGCATTTCAGCCAGGGGTTCGCTGTCTATGTTCTTTGAGATATAATGACATGTAATTGTGTGTTAGTTTCAGGCATATGCCATAATGATTCGATATCTACACATGTATTGCTAACGTGCTAACTATTCTTGTTCAATGTTCCTTTGCTTTAGATTTCCTATGGTCCCTCAGCCGTGACCAGACGCTTCTGTAACTCCCGCGGTGCCCACTTCCACGGGCGTTCTCTTCCTTGTCATGAATAATGGCATGAAGAGCGCCAGCACGGGCCTGCTACACGGGGCCCACGGCCCGGCCGGCACCAGTCCCACGTCCCACGCGGGGCCCTGGCGTGTGTGCCGGGAGGGCCTGGTTCGCCCTGGGTGCCAGCCCCACAGTGTCCTCGGGTGTCACGTCACATGCCCTCACTTTACGTTGCTGACCCTCTACGGTTCTCTCAGCGGGACATGCATGTACGTATGTGCTCTTTGCTCTCGGTGCCGGCCGGCCCCTCCCCCTGCAGTTTCCGACTTCGCCTGGCCTGGTGTCCCTGGAAGGCTCCTGGGGAACCGGACGTCTGAAGCACGGTCGGGCTCTGACCCCTCCGGCCACAGCCCCTCGTTCCCACAGCAGCTTTGGGCCCTTCCGACGTGTCTGCGCCGTGTGGGCTGTGCTGAGGTCGGGCGGGAGCTTGGCTTTGGAGGGCCGGGCCTGTTCCTTCCCTCCGCTCGGATGGGTCGGACCGCGGTGGCCGAGTGGGGGCAGGGGTGTTGCAGAGCCTGGCGGAAGGGCCTGTCTCCCTCCCTGGCCGGGCTCCTGAAAAGCTTCCCATCCCTCCATGCTAGTTCTTTACCAAGGCTCATACCTGAGGCACTGGGGTGGGGTGGGGGGGGGGACCCACACCAGGTTCCTTCCCAGGGAGGAAGACTAGGGCACGGGACACAGAACCCCCTCTTGTCTTTGCTCCATCTGTGTGTCCAGGCTGCTCCCCACACCCTGAGCCTCACTGGTACGGACCCAGGCAGCGGGTGCCCATGAGAGGGAGGCGGGAGGTGCAAGCAGTTCCCTCCAGCCCTCGTCTGTGGGCAGCTGGGGACACTCCGGAGTGAAGAGGAGGAGCCCTCGGGCTCCAAGGGTCCACAGGGGTGAGGTGCGGGGAGCACCACGACTGTTGTTGCGTCTGCTCTGTTGCTCCAGACGGTGGCCCAGTCTCTCCTGTGTCCTCAGCTGACAGGGGCTGGGGTGGGGCTCAGTGCTCGTGGTGGGGGCCGGGGAATGGTGGAGGGGGGCAGGCTATGGTCTGTTACTAGCAGCTCTGAGGCTCCCTAGCGCTGGGGCCTTGCCTCTGCTGTGTTTCCAATGACAGGGAGCAAAGGGCAGCTTCCTTGGCCAGAAGGATTGGAGCAGGAGCCAGCAGGTGGGACCAATTTTTGCCCCTCCCTGCTGCCCTAGGTTTCTCCACTGTGGGCTGCTTCTCTGCCTTCCTCAATTCCCAGGAGGAGAGAAGGACCAACCGTTAGGCCAACTTTGCTAAAGAGAATTATCTCGGTGCTGCCAAGAGAGGGCCCAGCTGGCACAGGACTGTGGCGCCACCTAGTGGAGAGCGTGCCCCTGGACTCGCTGCGGGGGCTCCCGATGCAAGCCAATCCCATTTATGAAAATCCAGGCTTCGCTCTAAAAACAAAACATGCCGCGGAGAGAAGAAAAGGAAGTCATCACTTACTTCATAAAACTTATTTCAATTATGTTTCATTTACAAAGGTGTTCCTTTTCGGGCACCTTTAAAAATGTGTCCTCTCATCCTACATTTAAGTCACTTGCTTCCCCGTAGTGAGGGACTTACAAAGGTTTCCCCCCCTTAAAGGTGGAAAAGATAGAACTTCTTATAAGAAAACCTATAACAGAACGGAGTTGCTCTCCAAAAGGGCAAGAATTGGTTTTATACATTATTCTTATTGTCATTTAATTTTTTCTTTAAGGCAGTAATACTGTTTATATGATTAGAACTTAACACAAGGGTTCAGCAAGCTGGCTGGATACATAATATCCAGAAGCTGTTCATTAGAAATAACTGAATAGAAAATAAAATAGAAAAAGATCTCATTCCAATAAAACTACCCAGGACCTTTACGGGGGAAGGAGATAAACCTTTATACCAAGACTGTGCCAGGAGACGCCCTGGGAGGGGGCTCCTGTCCGCCAGTGCCTCCCTGGCGGTCCCTGCTGTGTGGCCCAGGGAGCAGGCTCCGGTACAGAATGACCAAAGCCACTGGTGTTCTGGCGTGGAACCGAGAGGTCCTTGGCCAACTGGACACTCCAGTTTCTGAGAATTCGGACATGATCTAGTGACGGAAACAGAAAGGTGCCGGAGGCAGTGGCGGTGGAGTGCCCGGGGGACAGGACCCGGCTGGAGCCAGTCGAGGGGCAGTGGGTGGAAATGCGGACGGTGGCAGGCTGGCATCAGTGGTTGGCGTGGACCTCAAAATAGCCCAGGTCCTGCAGAAGGGCAGGGACAGCTGGTCTGGAAGCGGTGCCGGAGGGCAGCGAGGCCGACGACCTGCATCCAGGCCTGAGGTCACGGGGCGAGAGGGAGACAAGGTGTACCCGAGAGGCACACTGACGACATCCGTTTACCAGGAGCTTATGCTCCAAAGAACTGGCAGCAGCTGCACCTGTGTTACTTGTTCCCACTCACCTCACCTTCCTGACCTGCCCCTGGACCCTCCCTATTGGTGTATATGGATTCACAGCGGGGTTTGGAAGGCTGAATACTTTTATGTTAAAATGTATGTGTGTATATACACATATACCTGTGTGGGTACATAAACATAGAACGGGAGGTGACATGACGAGGGACGGTGGATTGAGGGTTAAAGCAGTGTTTGTCGGCCGCAGCACTCGATGCTTTGGCCCAGAGAAGCCTTTGCCGTAGGCGCTGTCCTCTGCGCTGGAGGATGTAGGAACCTCTGGACCTTTGCCCACTGGATGCCGGCAGCACCCCCTCTGCAGTCACGACAACCAGATGCGTCCCCAGATACTGCCGACGTCCCCCGTTGACAACCAGTGGGTTGAGGGTGTGTGTGGGAAGAGAATGAGGACGGGACATAACTTGGACGGACTGGTAGAACTCGGGCCGTCTCTGTGTGTGGCCCCCGCAGCACTCTGATGGGCTCCTCTGGGCTTGCGCGTAAGCGCAGCGGTTTCTAAAAGCTCCTTTCCACTGGCTCGTTCCGAGTCAGCCATGCAGTGGACGTTACCGGCAACACTGCTCTTTGCGGGGAAGCGCTGGTGGTGGGGAAGAGGGGTGTCACCTGCCTTCTTCTGAGACTTGACTTCCAGCCCTTCCTCAGCCCCATATTCTCCACTTAAGAATGTGGTCTGTAAAACAAACACGACTCTGTCTTCAGGAAGCTGTGTCTCCACTCAAACATATCTGAGGACTTAAAATACATAATCAGCACTGTCTTTACTCAAGGGATGGGCTATCTAATGTGATATCATTTATTAATATCAAAACTAGGTTCAGGAATTTTGCTCCTTGGACATTTATCTCAGGATGAATTATGAACATCACTCAACACACAAATTAAAGTGGTTTTCAAAATATTAAAAAAATCATACGAGACAATAACAAAATAACTCGACTGAAAAATGGAGGACTTATATATTTCTCCAAAAAAAAAAGACATACACGTGGCCGATAAGCACAGAAAAAGATGCTCACATCACTGTCATTAGGGAAATGCAACTCAGAACTGCAGTGAGGTATCTACCACCTGACACCCATCAGGCTTGGCCTCTCCAAAACCAAACAGAAGACGGCAAGTGCTGGCGAGCATGTGGGAAAACCGAAACACGTGTGCACTGCTGACGGGAGTGCAACGTAACCTGGCACCGCTCCTGTGGAAGGAATGCAGCAGGGCAACCACAGACAGAATCCCCACGTCTGCCCAGCCGCTCCGCCTCTGGAACTGTGCCCGGAGGGGCTGGAAGCCAGCCACGGGCAGGTGTCTGTCTGCACACCGTGTCTGTGGCGGCGGTGCTGTTCACGGGGCCGACGCAGCAGGGACGGAACAAACGAGACTCGGTCTGCACGTACGGTGGAACAGCTCTCAGCCCTAAAAAAGGAAGTGCGGACACACGCGCTGCAGTATGGATGAACCTGGAGGACAGGACGCTGAGTGAGATGAGCCCGTCAGGAGAGCACAGACGCCGTGCGATTCCACCTGCGTGAGGCGTCTGGAGCGGTCAGATTCACGGGGAGCAGGCTGGTGGCTGCCGGGCCGCAGCGGGGTGGGGGGGGCGGGGGTTACTGTTCACTAGCTACGTGATTTCTAATTTCAGGTTTGTGGTGGTGGTCGCACGAGGATGTGAGAGCACTGAATGCCAGGAGGCTGCACACCTAAAAACGGCGAGGACGTGCCAGTGAGAAGAGCAGGCGTCCCCGTCTTACCCCGGTCTGGCCCCACAGCCAGTAGTGGCGAACCCACTGGGGCTGGCTGGGAGAGAGGGTGAGAACTGGCTCCCTAAGGAACTGCCTGAGGTTTAAAAAAAAAAAAGGTGAGGACAGTAAAATTTATGTTATGTGTATTTTACTACAATTAAATTCTTTTTTAAAAATGTAAGAAACGACAGGAGATGATTAGCTGAGTTTAAGGCAATATTTATTCCATTTCCTCGTGATCATACTATATTATCTAAGGCGTAAATGGTGATTATGTGGCAAGGACACGACTCCTCGGAAGGCCCTCTGCAGTTGGGTTTAGTTCAGAAACACACCACATTTGCAGGAAGCCTGAGAGTGCTTCTTCTGGCACGGGCTCTTCTGGTGAAACTCAGTCACCTCCGGCCCTCGAGGTCGCCGGGTCACGGTGGCCGGGCCACGTGCGGTGAGAGTGGCCGTGGCGGGCTCCGCGCGGTCAGGCTGTGTTCTCGATGATGACCGCGATGCCCTGGCCGCCTCCGATGCACGCCGATCCCACGGCGTACTTTCCACCCCGACGCCTGGGGAAGACAGCAGAGGCTGAAATCTGCCCAATCCCCTGAAGGAATCAGACAGCTAATGAAGCTGAATTACTAGTGGGCACATTTGCATTATTCATCTGCATTCATCCCATCATCTCAATATTTTCCTCAGCCCTTGGTATCAGTTTATAGTCACAACAGGAGAGAGAATTGGGAAAGCGGAATGTTAAGGAAAAAGCAGCGGCGGCGGGCCGGGGACACTGGTGTCCCGCCCACACTGGGACACCGCGTGGAAGCCAGAGTGGACGGGAGGGTAACCTGACGACCAAGCCCAGGAGCACCGGCGCTCGAGGCTGGACATAAGCACCGCACACCCAAGTGTCAGGCGGCAGTCTGGGTGACCGACAGCAGCACCGTCTGGCAGGCTGCTCATGCCTGTACAGAAGGAGATCATGGCGGTCTGTGACCTTCCGTCCATGAACTCCCATGCGTGGCGTGCAGCTGGCCGGACAAAGGCTTCTCGGTGGGACTGGCGTGGAGGTCTGTGAGGGCCCCGTGGAGGTGACTGCAGGTGAGTACCACGTGGAAGGCACTGATGGCCAGCCTGGTGCCTGCACCTGCTGTGACCTGGATGCAGGGCTGGCCAGCACAGCTGCCGGAATGAAGTGTTTGGGGACCTGGAGGGAGCTGCGGGGGGAGGCCTGTCTAGCCCTCACGGTGCCGAGCGGTTCCTGGGTTATGATTCAGAACAAGAGGAAGTCAGTGCAGGCGTACGTCAGAAGCACATCACCACATCACGGGTCAGAACGCTGCAGATTACATGCGCGACACAGTGGCAGAAGATGACGCTTGCAAGGAACAGTTCTCTCAATACACAGAGACCGCCGCACCTCCAGACAGGACGGGGGGGACGCATGCGGACGCACACACTGCACTACGGGGGAACCCAGTCTAGCCAACAGGCCTGAGAAGGCAGTTAAGAGAAAGGGTGGAGCGTCTCAGAGAGTCTCCTGCCCGGAGGAAGGAAGAGCGGGCAGCTGGTGAGAAGGCAAGCGCCCTCCGGGCTCAGCATGGGCTGCTGAGAGCTGGTAAACCGCACCACCGCTCTCTGTGAAGATCTTCCAGATAAGGACAGTGACTGATTGACTGACCAAGCCAAACACAGGCCAGCCTAGCCACCCTGGACCGAAGGAGTGAGGGGCGGAGCGGAGCGAGACAAACAGGGGCGGAGAAGGGGGGGGGGGCGGGCAAACATTCAGTCCCGTCAGCGTATGTGGCTCTGGATGTTTGTGGCACCTCAGAGTGTCGATAGTGAAGGCTGTCCATGTGAAAGGCAGATAACTTAGAAACATGTCATGTCCCTTTCATAAAAAACAGACTCCTTTAAAGTGCCATCTGCTTCCACTCCTCAGTCTCGACAGAATGACCTTGAGAGAACCGCTGGGAATTATTTTTGTGCACGTCAATCACTCATTTCAACTCAATGAATCACGAGGTGAAATAGGAGTCCTATGTATCTTAATCCAACAGGGAGCTGGCGTGAGGTTCTGTCCTGACATATTTGGTTTCACTGGCGATTTTTCTACTAACAGAGCAAAATGGTCCAAAATACGCAGCAGCAGCAGCAGCAGCAGCAGCAGCAGCAGCAGCAGCAGCAGCAGCACTACCACCAAAACGGAAAGTGTCAGACACACAGAAGGCGCCCCATGGCACCCTGGAAACAGCAAGGGGAAACTGAGCTCAGATCCAAATCACCAGTTTGCTTAGGTTTCTTAAAGGACCGCATCTATGTAAGTAAGAACCCTTCAGTGTTTGTTTTCCTGAGTAACTTTATCTCAGGCACACGGATCCCCCAGGGAACACGCAGCCAACGCAAGGACCGCGTGCCTCGCAGGAGCAGGGCTGCTGACAAGGCGGCGGGGTTGTCCCCACAGGCCAGCTGAAAAGGGGCGCCCGAGCAACTGGGTCCTGGCAGAAGCAGCACAAAGGGGATCCGAGGAAGAGTGAGGAAATGTTGGCGTGTTCGGGGGGAACCCAGATCCATGCATGTCTACAAGAGAGGACAATCTGAAATGTAACAATTTCTAGCGAGTACCTCAATTCATGAACCAGGTGGGCGGTGATTCTTGACCCAGACGCCGACAGCGGGTGGCCCAAGGCAATGGCTCCTCCATTCACATTGGTTTTACTCGGGTCGAGATCCAGACCCTTCTGAACAGCCAAGTACTGGGGAGCAAAGGCTTCATTCACCTTCAAAACAATCGAAACACTGATAAAAACTCTTACTCACAAACTGACTTTTCACTGAGAATTGTTCAGTCCCACTGACAGCTAGTCTTGCTGCTTTTTTCCCCAACTTAAATTACCTCGCAAGGTTATTTTATCTTCAGTTGTTCTCTGTAAAAAGTGCCAGGTTTGAAAATGGCACCGTAAGTCCAACACATCCTTCAGAGAAGAGAAGTCCTTGGCAGTATCACCCACAAACGCTAGAGGCAGCGGGGCACCACAGGTGCTGGAGCCAGGTGGGCGGTTCCAACCTTGGCCGCACGCACGTTCTTTTACCCTCTGGTCGGCTTCTAAACGCCGGGGGGTCCGGGCAGGATGAGAAACTTCTAGATTTGGCACCAGACACTGTTTTTCTATTAGGTCAATTCTTGTCTTGTATTTTTTCACTTGAATCCATAAAATAGGGTTAAAGGTACTTATTCCTCCCCTACTTTATATAGAAATGATTTCAGTTCAACAAGCACATTAATAGTAAAAATGTAATAGGGTCTTATAAGGTCCTAAGATGTTTCCAAAAATTTATACTTCAGGAGGCTGTTTTAATCACCCAAATATAAAGAAAGCATTTTAACCAGGCCAGGGAAGAGGACCAGTATCAGTCATGGAACGAAGCAGCACTTTTCCAGACGTGCGTTGTCTGGAGAGGCCGACAGCACCCGAACGAGGGAGCTGCGGAGCGCCAGGCTGCGGACACCTGCGCTGCGGATGGTGGCGGTTTGTTCATGCTGTAAGGGAGCCAGACACTCACCTCCACCAAGTCCATGTCCTTCAGACTCAGTCCCGCTTTCTTCAGTGCCCCCTTGATGGCAGGGACGGGACCTGTGTCGGAGCAGAAGCCAGCGTCATCACACGTTTGTTTGTGGACCAAATTTTTCCGTCTTTACTAAACAGGTAAATAATGTGACAGCCGTTAGTAGCCACAGATCTTTCTACCTTGACAGCACACTCCTAAGTCACGTGACAAATGACGAAACAAAAAACGGACCGAGGGGAACAGCTGTTTCTGCTGTGGAGACGCCAGCCTCACAGGAGACGCCCCACCGTGCACAGCGGCAGGAGCTCTAGCAGCCACGGGGGTCCTGCACGGGAGCTCGCAGCCGTTTTCAGGCCCTGCTCCCCACCCAGCGGCGAAGCGGACCCCAGTGCTCTCCTGGGGTACAGATCACACGCGTCTGGGCACAGAAGCGATCGTGCCCACTCTCCACGTGTCTGGGCCCATCGGGACGACGGAGAAGAAACCGCAGTGGCCGCCCCCCCCCCCCCCGCCCCGTGGGCCGAGCAGGAGAGGAAGCCACAGGCCCCGCAGGAAAAGGAGTCTGAAGCGCGGAGCCGTCTGCGACTCCAACGGAAGGTAGAGTGTTTGCTGAAACACACGCCCCACTGACGAACTGTAAACCCGCGCAATGAAACCGCAGCTCCCAGACTTCTGATGATCGCCAGCGGCAGTTCAATATTGCTCGTGATCTTAAAATGAATTCATTTCCCCACAAAGGCCGAAAATCTGACTAGGGAGGAGAATCTATTTCTCTGTTCCAAAAGAATAAAATTGCCATAAATGTCTAAAAAGAAAAATATGTGGTATGTTCTGTTGAATCCAAGTAGTCAAACATTCTACAACAAGCTTCACAAATACAGCCAAGATAAAATGGGAAATCAGTTTTTCTAAGAAAAGCATAATGCAATCTAAATATGATGTAATTTACTTTGTGACCTAATTAAAATGCTTTTTAGACAACAGTCTGCAAATTGGTAGTGCCATGCTTTTCAATGTAAAGCACCAGTTCTGCACTGGCTAATGATTTCACACTGAATCTAACTAAAGATTCTCATTGTCTCTCGAAGGCATGAACACAGGATGGACAGTCAAGAGTAGAGCAGCACTGCCCGGTGTGGCAGGGGGGCGGGGGGGAGTGCCCTACAGGGGAGAGGCGCAGAACTGGGGGGAGCACAACCACTGTCACGCCCCCCGTCTTCATGGCCACGGGAAGCCCGGCTCGGTGTGCTCGTGTGACCTTGGAGCTGTCACAGGCCACTGTAACAATATGCCACACCTCACTTTTAAAGGACCGTTCCCATACCACTCTGCTATTTATGGGGCCCAGGAAGGTGCAACAGTCTCGTGGGGAAAAGGAGACTTGACTTGCATTCGTGGTTCCAACCACTAACAGCCGTGTGACCGTGGGCACCTTTTCAGGCTGTAAGCTTCCCGTGGGAAGTGCTTTGAATTGGTTTTTAACCTGTTTCTTTAGAAGCATTTGAATCCTTTTCACAAATAAAGTCCAATAACAGATAAAGGTAGAGCCCCTCAGGCTGAAGAGGCTCCAAGTCCTGCCCAGCAGCCCCCACCACTGCCGCCACCACTGGGGCGGGTGTTCCGGGAGCGCACTTTCCGGAATCGTGTCCTTGGTTGGAGCCGTCACTGCTCTTTCCAGTTCTGGCTTTCCCATTCCCTGGCTCTGCGGCCGCACCTCAGGGCGAAGGACTGCTACACGCCGAATAACCATGGAACGGAGGAACCGCCGTCCTCAGAAACTAGGCTGACAAGTCCGTCCTCATCAGACACGCAGGGGTCTGTTCTCCCCGCTGTTCGTCCAGCGTCCTTCAGGTTGGCGCTCGTGTCCCCCCACACCGAGGCCGAGAGAGGGGCTGTCCAGATGGAGGAGGGGTCCCGCATGGGGACGCTGGCGCACACACAGCTGTGGCCGCGCCCGAAGGGAGCAGACACCCCCGCCGGGCACTCACTGCAGTGGGGGGACACCCAGGGCCGGGCAGGGAAGGAAGGCGAACTACATTTCCTCGCTCACTCACTGTTTTCATGTATCAGAACCTATCAAATGAGGTTAAACTGAAAAGGAACCACAGAATAACTACTTTCCAATATCAGATAAATTTGATCATCATCAAAACCATCTAGATACACTGAAAGAGTCCGGGTTCCCAGGCTCCGCCCTGCAGCTGCGAGAACGAACTCACGTGGGGAGCGGGCCACAGGTGCGTCTGAGGGCCCCTCGGGGCCGGACACCCCTGCTCTCGATACCGCGGCGATAAACGCCACACGGACACATAGAGACAGCCGAACCTCGGCTCCTGAACGTCTTGGCTCTCAAACAGTTTGGTTCTCGACCAGGTGGTTCATAGAAAAATGTTCAATTGTCCAACAAAACTTCGGGTCCCAACAACCCTTTCATGCTGATGCCTGTATGATCAGTCACGCGGGTCTCAGGCAACAAAGGAGTCGGTTTTCGAACAAATCGCTTTTCGAACTGTTTTCTGGAACAGACTGAGTTCAAGAACCAAGGTTCCACTGTATTTAATTTTTCAAGCTACTTTCCATCTCTATGACAAAAACCATGTTTTGCTGATAGTGGGTAGCTGAAAGCTAATAAGCTTTTAAGACTATAACAGACAAAAGTTGACTTTTAACAGATGTATACATAGTATGCAGTTTTTGGTGACATAATCTGCCACACAGTGAAAGATGACAAGGTGTGGACATGCCCGCGTTCTTTCTTAGAAATTCGGTACAGGACACAGCAGCAAACACGCTGGGTGTTAACTTAGGCATCATAAGGGCAGGACCCGGAGGCTTACAGGGAAGGATCTTTGGAAAGGCAGGTCCACCACAGGTCACCCCCCTTCACTCTTGGGACCTGCTTCAAAACCGATGTTGGCCCTGGCTGGTGTGGCTCGGTGGCTGGGCGCTAACTAGACTGTGAACCGAAAGTTGGCCGGTTCCGTTCCTGGTCAGGGCACATGCCTAGGCTGCAGGCCAGGTCCCCACTTGGGGTGTGCGAAAGGCAGCCAGTCACTGTTTCTCTCCCTTCCCCTCTGTCTAAAAAATAAATAAATAAAACCTTAAAAAATGTGTTCAGAAAATATAATTCAGTTAGTAAAAAATGACCTAAGGTTTGTCTAATCTCATTGGCAGATCTTTGGACCTATCAAGAGGCTGAGTCTCTACCCTAGGGCAGGCTTTTCCTTGGGGTGTGAGGGGATAGGTCAGAACCTTTGGGCACCAATTTTGTTTTTGTCAGGTACCTAATTGGTTCCCTGTTTCCCCCCAGAAAGAACTGCACAGGAACTGCTAATATCCAGCATCATCTGCGGTTTGTAGGAGTGCTTTCAGCAGAAAGCTTTTTGTTCTAATTCATACTCTTCCAGCTAAGACTGTGTACATGCTTGTAGGAGGTTGCAGATCTCCTGCTGGTACTTTGCCGATGGAGATGCACTGTTCACAATTCCTCATCGTCCTGCTGAGCCTCAGCTGCGACAGGTGAGTATTACTCTGACTTCCAGAGACGACAGAGTGGGAGGAGCACTGGACTTCGAGCTGGAGTCGCAGCCTGGCTCCACCACTTGCTGCTTTGCAACGGCCTGAGACAACCCCCTACTCAGTTTTCTCCCCCACCGAGAAGGCTCACTTACGAGGGCTGGAAGGGTGACATCAGACACATGGATGACCCCACACAAAACACCCGGCAGGGTGTTTATCTGCTCTACACACAGCCTTCGCTATTTGCCCCATGGTTTCTCCCACCTCACATTGTCTTATCAGCACCTCGTAACTCTTCTCTGTTATTTTCTGTTACTTTTATTTTTTAAAAATTTATTTATTTATTTTTAGAGAGAGGGGGGAAGAGAGGGAGAGAAATATCGATCGGTTGCCTCTTGCTTGCACCCCGTCTGGGACCAGACCACCAACCCCGGCATGTGCCCTGACCGGGAACTGAACTGGTGACCTTTCGCTTTGTGGACGACAACCAACCGAGCCACACCAGTCAGGGCTCTGTCAACTTTAAGTATCTCAGATGGACAAGATGACGTGCTTGCTGCCACAGCAGTTTACATGGTCTTGGTTTTCCTACCGAGACTGACACTTTTTCTTAAAGGCTGGCAACCTTGACTTGGCTACTGTTTCTGGGATCGGAATGCCAAAGAAGACTTATCTCCAGAAACGTGAGAGAACCAGTTTGTTTCCCTACAGACTTACCAATACCCATGATAGTGGGGTCACATCCAGACACGAAATAGCCCACGACTCTCGCCAGTGGTGAGAGGTTATGCTTTTTCACAGCGTCTTCGCTGGCAAGGACAACAGCTCCAGCACCATCACATACGCCCTTGGAAACGAACACAAGGTTAACTGAAGGGTAAAGAACCTAGTTACTCAAAGTGTGAACTAAAGGAGCAGTCCTATCAGAATGATGGCAATTCGAGGAGGCAGGCTGTAATTTATACCAGCAGTGCTCTGGTGGATTAAAGAGATCACTAAATTTAGGCACAGAACACAGCCTCACTATGGGAAAGCAGGAAGAATATCCAGGAAGGGCTTGTTTCTGGATGTGGGTAGGTATCAGGAGAAATCTGATGAATTTTCCACATGAGAAAGAAAAAAAATATGGAAACTAAAATAACAAACCAGGTAGATTTCCTTCTAACATTCTGAAAAGAAACTAAAAGTACTGTATAAGCATCCCTACCTTAAATACTCGTATTTTGACCTATGAACTTCCAAATTAATAAAATATGAACTCTATTAGTTTAAGCTAAATAACTAAAGCCCAGCATGAAAAGTAGCTAAAAGATCCTGCGTGGTTGTTTTGCAGCAGGAAGAGGTCGAGGGGAGCGGTGGCGCCACCTACCGAGGCGTTCCCGGCGGTGACGGTTCCTTCCTTTTTGAACACCGGCGGGAGCTTGGCCAGCTGCTCCAGGGTGGTCTGGGGCCGGGCGTGCTCGTCCACCTGCACCGTCTGTTTTCCCTTCTTTGTCTTCACCTCGATCGGTGCCATCTCATTATTGAAGTAGCCAGCATCGTTAGCTGAAACAGTGGAAAGACTATCAGAAGAATCGGGACAAAAGAAGGAAACAGGAAAAGAAACGAAATCCAACATGTCCTTCAATTTAATTTCTGGTCTACCCTCTCCTCACAGCCCACCTTAATATAAGTTACATAAGTTACTTATGTAACTCGCCTTGCTTATTGGAGGCTTCAATACACTGCCATGCTTCTATGCAGGTGCATTTTGCATCTTTTTATCTATTTATTACCTTTTTAAAATTATTATTTTGATTTTCTTTTCTTAATCACCTTTTTTTTTACAAGGTACTGCTGCAATCGTAGCAGTATTTGTCTATTAGCTACACTTGCAATGACATGAAATGGATTTAACTGCCCTTTTTAAAATTTCTCTGGGTGAGGTAAGTACTTAAAAAGTTATCAAGTAGCACAAAATAACGCATTGCAACATACCCTTAAAATCACACACTTAAAAGTTTAAGAGAGCAGCTCTCACATTGAATATTCTTAGCACAGTAAGAGAAAAAGTCACCATGTTGCCCATGTCACCAAGTAACCTGTGCCTGACATTTAAGGATAGGCCACCTGAGGAAACTGTATGAGTGAGTACCGACACAGTTCTCAGTAAAGCGGCTTACCTGCTCCCACCTCCACCGAACACAGAACACTAGAGTAATCCAAAGCTTCAAAAACAGGGCATATCAGGAACAATACCATCTTAATATTATGCTTTACAGCAGGCTAAACATTTCCCTTTGCTGGTTTTCACAACAACTCTATTAGGAAAACTGGAAAAGCCAATGTTTTTAGCTCTAACGTATTTACCCCTATTTTACAGATGCTCTCAGTAAATAACTGAGGTCAGAAAACGCGTATGTGGCAAAACTAGAACTAGAGCCAGTAACTCTTCGCCTCTAGGCGGCGCCCTTCCATTGCATACAAACGTGAACTGAACAGCACAGGAGACCCGCTGGGTGGCCTCAGCTCCCTTCCACTCGTCCCTCTGAAATGCTAAGATGGACTTTATCCTCACTATTCCAAGTAAATATTAATACCCCAATAAGAGTTTCCATTTGTTTATGAGTTTCATTTCAAAAATCTTTTTCAGAAGACTAACACACTTCCTCAACGGACCGTACGCTTCCGTCACGCTGCCCCCCTGAACTGGTTGCACAGCAGGGCGCAGTGTTACAGGGCCCGGGAGGTCCTCGAGGAGCGCTGGGGCTCCGAGTGGGGTGAGCTGGTTCTCAGTGAGGAATGGGGCAGCGTAAGCGGTACCCGGCGGGCCTCTCCCACGCGTACCACCCCCTCCTCGTGAGTATAACGAGCCCTACAGAGGAGGGCCCCCTCTGTCCCAGCAGCCCCAGCGAGCCACCACCTCTCACAGAGTGAGTGCACCTCTGCCCTCTGAGCGGTCCACTGCCAAGAGTCCAGCATGGGCAGGCCGATTAACAACACCACTTTTTAAAGTGGTATTAATGTATTTAACAAGAGAAGCTCCCAGGAAATTTTGCAATCATAAGTTAAACATCTAAAAAAAAATGAACAAAACGGGACTTCTGAAAGGTTTAAACTATTATTATCTGATCATTCTCTGAAAAGATGAAGTTCTTCCCTATAGTTTTTTTAATTGAGGTGAAATTGACACATAACATTGTATTAGTTTCAGGTATAACAACATAAGTCGGTACTTGTCTCTGTTGCAAAATGATCACCACAGCAAGTCTAGTTAACATCCGTCACCAGGAGACTTTTTCCTTGTGGCGAGAACTTCTCAGATCTACTCTCTCAGCAGCTGTCAAACATGCAGCACAGTACTGTTAACTACAGTCAGCACGTGGTACCTTCTACACCCAGAACTGCTTTATTTCACAACTAAACGTTCGTACCTTCTGACTCCCTTCACCCATTTCACTCACCCCACCCCTCTGCAGTCATTTCGGTTCTGAACATTTGTAACATCCACTCTCACCGACCAGCTTTCCACCTCTGCTGGGACTGCAGGGCGTATCTGTCACAGTCTTCTCTGCTTATTTTGTGTTGGGAAGCAAGATTCTCTGCAGTAATTCCCATGAGGAGTTGGACGTGCTGATCTTTTAATGATGCCCACAAAGCATCTTCCAGCTATTGAAAGACATGAATGGTACAGTGATTTCTTAAAGTGAATCTTTTGAAAGTAATGTGCTATAATTTATTTAAATTTAAATAATTAACAGTTCCAATAAACAAAAGTAAAATAAAATTTTCTAATGGCATTATTATTACTACTATTTATATTTGGTTCTGACACATTAAAAAAATCCAGTGACATAATAAAATGGCACAGTCTCCTCTTTCTGCAAATGTGGGGCTCTAAAGAGAGCCGCCGGTGCTGCATGCGCAGGGTGAGGCCACAGCCAGTGACTCTACAGTCAGAGCCCCTCAAGGTCACATTTTGTAAGAAACTGACACCGAGTCCTCGGCAACATTTCCCTGTAGCCGCCTTTGTAAACCACAGTTGGGAGCTCTGCAGGAAAGAGTGTCTGTGCTCCTTTTTCATCCTGTGCCCTCAAGTGAGAGGACAGCTGATCCTGTTAGTTACAATGACCTTGAGAAGAACCTGGGACAAGCTTCTTGGGTAACAGAAAAAGTGGTTCCTTATTATTCAGTCTGTCTCTAATAAGTGTGCCCCATCTGTTTCTTCCACATTGCCTCACTTTTTGAGTCACTGACCTATCCTCCGAAGGTTTTTCTCAAATATATTGATGTGTAAAAGTATCTCATCTTTTCTAAGTCTTGTTCCTTTCAGCTTTCCAAAAGGCCAGTCGAGAAACCGGATGCACAGTGTGAAGCAACTGAAAAATGCTAGGAGTGTGAGACACCGCCGGCCCTTTAACACGGGAAGGACAGTGTACTATGTCTGCCACTCCCTACCGGCACTACCACTCTTGTGCTGTAGCTCTCAAAGGGGAACGGGTCGGCTTTCATCTGATGGGTGTGGGACAATATTCGCTACATTCGAAGAAAATGTTTTTTGTGATGAAGAAATCTATTCAGTGGAGAATGCTCCAGAAAGAAAACTTCCATAAATCATGGTAAAGATTTAACTACTTGGTTTACTAATTATTCAACCTTTCCCCATCTTTTGCTCTGCTTCTTCCCTTCCTCCACTTCCCCAAGTGTGAAGTCCGCTATCAGGGGTATGCGAAGATACATCTAACTTTATGTGAATTGCAATGGCAAAATGAACAACCCAAAGAGAGTTTTGCAATACCTCATGAAATTCAAATCATTTATATCTTGCTAATCCCCATTACCAAAATTGGTTTCAAAATTAGTTTTCGCTCCCCCAAATGGCGATATTACAATCATTAGTAGAAGAGCTTGAGAAATGATTTTTTAACATTGTAATGCTTCCAACCTGGAGTTCTGATCCAAACTTGGTTCCGAAACGTATGTTTCTGACATAGAAGGGCGCCTGGCTCATGCTTTCGGTTCCTCCGCACAGGACAATCTCAGCATCCTTAACACAGATTTCCTATTGAGAAATGAACGGATGACAACAAAACCCTTTTACACTGACAGAAGTGGATATTAAAAGGTATGTGTTAAGCAGTGAACTAAGTTTAATAAGCAACTATCCTAACCTTACAGTATTTCAAAAGGAAATACTTTTGAAGTAATCTTAAGGCAAGTGCTAAAGTATCCACTCCCAGAACACGATGGGGGGGAAAACACCCAACAGTCTTCAATCATTTGTGCACAAGTAACAAACTCTACCTACTTTTTGCTAAGGAATGGTGATTCTGAACTCAATATAAATCTTCAATATCAGCAGAGACATTGTCTGGCAACAAATTTACAGGCTGCCAGCAAATAGTAAAGAACAAACCTTTTAAAAGGCAAAAGTAAAATTTATCCTACTAATGGATGAATCCGAAGGGTGCCACAGATCTGAAAGAACCGAGTTAACCCAGGGGACACGTAAAGAAGAACCCATTTCATTTTTCCAGCTCTTCCCACTACGTGCACGTCTCAGAAAAGGAGCCAGTCACAAGCCGCCGAGAGCCCGGTGTTTAAAAACGATTGTTGGGAAAATCAGGACCACCCCTTAAGATACACTGTTATAGAAATAATGTATCACTACAAACTACCTGTATTCTTTTATTTTGTAACAAAATGAAGACCAAATTGATTTCGCTGTATGCCTTTTCTCTGTGCTCAAAATCTGTCTGCCCAATTATCCCTTAAAAAGGTCAGAGTAGTTTGTACTTCTACCAACAGGACCACTTAGTTCCTTTTTATAAAATATATTTCCTGTCATTTTCTAAATTCTCCAAGTCTCTTCCTAGTCTTACAGTCTTTATTCAGGGTTTCACACTGCCTCCAGACATGGGTTTAAACTCTGCCTCTCAGACTGAGCAACCTGAACGCCTTCAGTAATCGGTTTCCTTGCTCACAAAATGGGAATAGAAACAGGTCTTGCCCCTGCAGGGCAATTGTGAGGATGAAATGAGCTACAGAGTGTGACGAGTAGTCACAACTAGCTTCTTTAAAAACTGTGACTAAGAATACACACTACAAAATCCATCACTTCAGCCGGTTTTCGGCATACAGTTTGTTCAGTACATCCACATCAGCGTGCAGCCGCCACCCGTCTCCGGGAGTGCTGTCGTCTTCCCAAACGGAAACTCCGTGCCCCCGAACACCATCCCCCACCCCGTCTCCTCTCTCCGCCTTGGCAGCTACCATTCTACTTTCGGTCTCTATGAATGTGACTGCTCTTCATACAGTACTTACCCTTTTGTGACTGGTTTACTCCATTTAGCATAATACCTTTAAAGTTCATTATTAGCTTTTAAGAAATGATTTTCTTCCTGTGAATATTTTCCCAAATATCAACTACTGACCTCTCTTCATAAGCATAAATAAATATCTACAGTGTTATATTAAGCGGGGGATTTTTCTCCAAGAGCTATTTAACACATTTCAGAGAATTCCATGTAATTAGCATTTGTCTGTACCTGACATCCGCTCACAACGGCCTGGAAACCGGAGCCACACAGCCTGTTCAGGGTGAGAGCCGGGGACTCCTTGGGGACACCCACGCGCAAACCAATGTGCCTCGCCGCGTATACAGCATCTGAAGAGCCCTGGAACACAGGGAAAAGAAAAGGAACTTCCTCTATAAATCTAGGAGTTAAGGACAAAAATATATGGAATGTCAGCAATCTATCAAAATGATAAACTCTATGGTTCTAAGGTAGACCACAACGCATACAGGAACACAATATTTCACATAATAAGTGTGTTTGGGACTTAAAAACTATAATTTGGTCTATAGGTTTTTAAACCTACTAAGTATGAGAATCCTTATGTCATCAATAGAAATAGAAATCTGTAACAGTGAGAACTGTTTAAAATGGGGTTGGCGGCCTCCAAGTAGGATGCTCCCCAACAGATGAGCGTCTGAGGCTGTGGTTCTTGACCTGGCTGCACGCGGGAAAAACCAGGAGAGCTGCAGCCACACACTGCTGACCGAGCTCCTCACGGGACCAACTAAACTGGAGATGCTGCTGAAGGCAGTGCACGGGCGCCGACGGTGACCGTGGTCCCTGTCACCGGCAGTTTCACTTTCTGCAGTTGCAGTTAACCATGATCGACTGCAGTCTGAAAATATTAAATGAAAATTCCAGAAATAAACATAAGTTTGAAATTGCATGCTGCAAATCTTGCCCGTGACCTGAATCGTCACTTTGTGCAGCACCTCCATGATATGCTCCCCACCGATTAGTTACTCAGTAGCCATCCGGATCCTGGGGTCGGGGCACTGCAGTGCTTGTGTTTAAGTTAATGCTTAGTCAGCTTACTTACTAACCGCCCCAGGGTGCGAGAGCAGTGACATTGGCAATTCAGATATGCAAAGAAGCCGTAAAGTGCTTCCTTTAAGTAAAAAAGTGAAAGCTTTCAACTTCATAAGGGAAGAAAAAAATTGTATGCTGAAGTTACTAAGCCCTACAGTAAGAACAAGTCTTCTATCCACGAAACTGCCTAGTTTATAAGTTAAACTTTATCACAGGTGTGTATGCATAGGAAAAATACATAGTATATGTAAGGTTCAGTATTGTCTGTCGTTTCGGGTCTCCACTGAGCATCCTGGAATGTATCCCCTGAAAATAACAGGGGACCACTGTACTTTTAACAAAAACTTTTATTGAATTTATCGGGGTGACATTGGTTGATAAAGTTACATGGGTTTTAGGTGTACTAGTCTGTACTACATCATCTGTATGTTGTATTGATATACCAGGTACAGCCTCCTTCCGTCACCATTTACCGCCCCCCCCCCCCATACCCTCTTCTCCTCCCTCTGCCCCTTCCCTCTGGTCATCACGTACTGTTGTATCTGAGGTTTCCCCCTTTGCTTGATCCCCTCACTTCTTTCATCCAGCAACCCAACCCCTCTTCCCCGTCAGTCTGCTCTCTATCTTTTCAGTCCGTTTCTGTCTTGTTTGTTAGTTAATTTCGTTCATTAGGTTCTCGATATAATCGAACCGAGGCTGAGACCTGCTGACCTAGGGAAGGGAGAGAGAGTAACCAGTCAGGAGAGTAAGAGATGCTGCCCGCACTCAAAAACACGCACCGGCGCCTTTTATTGCTGTGCAGGCTCTAGGTCAGTAGGTCCAGGGCTGCGTGAAACCCTGCACTTCTCAACATTCCCCTCATGAAGCAGTGCCACTGCTCTAGGGACCACACTCTGAGTAAGAGGGAAAAGAAATAACTTGGAAAAAAACAACAACAACAGTGTTTACTGTAGAGAGAGCTCAAGTAAATTTCATAAAATGGGGAGAATTGGCTCACCAAGGTAAAAAAAGGTCTAGGGCACTCACTGTTCTATTTTTTCTTTTTTTTTTTTTTTTTAACTTTTTTGCTTGGCTTTGCTATACTCCTTAGGTAGGTAGGTAGGTAGAGAGAGAGAGAGAAAACACTACCTTCAAATAAGTCAAGGAAATTAATCTATTTAGAAGCAGTAAATCAAATCGCTTTGTTCTACTCCTAAAACTAATATAAGCTGTAAGTCAATTACACCTCAATACAACTGGAAAAAAACAAACAAACCCAAAAATGAAATGCATCCCAGACTAGACAGATCTATAGTTTCCAGAACATTCACTCCTTTGAATTATGAGTCTCATCGCTTCTAGACTCAGAGGACTACTCAAAGTATAAACAGCTTTAACTATTAACGGATTCTCCACTATGACAGTTAAAGGAGTAGTCTTTAAAAACTGATAGAATAAAGCAACAGGAATGAATCCCACCCTTCGCCCCACTAACCTGTATGATGTTGCCTACAATAACACTGTCAACAGTCTCGGGTGATACTTTGCCAGCGGACAAGGCCGCCCTGGCAGCGAATTCGGCCAGGTCTGTGGCTGAGAAGTCTTTCAGAAGACCTCCGAAGGCTCCGAAGGGTGTTCGCTTCGCGGCAACGATAAACACGCCTATTGTGAGGAGAGATTTGTAAGCAATCACAGATTAGTGTCCCTTAATGTGCTTGAAACAGTCTCACTGGGAAACATTATTATAAAGTACAGTTTTCAACTAGGTAACTGAAATTTTTTTGCATACATTAAGGCTCCCCCAAACTATCTGGGTACCCATTCCCACATCTTGTCAAGAAACCATGGGACTTTTAATAATGGATTTGGGCCCAGACACTGACCTGTGATTGAGGCCGTTCAAACATTATACCACTCTTGGCATCTAAGTATAATCCCCCTATGTATGCTGGTGATCTCTTTCCACAGAACACACTAAACCTACCCTAAAAATAAATTTCAGCTTCTCCTTTTATTCCAGTTGAGAAATTTACAGTCTAAAAGAATGTTAGGCACAACATACATAACTATCATTTAGAAGAGATCTGTTCCTTTACAGATATAATACTCAAATGTTTATAAAAGACCACGCATATTAGTTTGGTGCAGTAAGGAGACAGCAAGAAGGTCAGTGGTTGCATGAGGGTGGGAGGGGGAAGGAGGGATGAACAGGTGGACCACAAGGGAATTTTAGGGCAATGAAGCTGCTCTTTATCATACTGTAATGGTAGATACATGTCATTAGATACACGGTCAACACCAATAGAATTGTACAACACAAAAAGTGAACCTTAACATAAACTATGGACTTCACTTAATAATAATGCATCAGTATTAGCTCATCAATTGTAACAAATGCACCACACTGTCAGGTGAATGATTCTTGTCCTTAAAGTGACTGAGGTAGGTTCGTACCACCTGAAGGGAATATTCTCGCACGGATAAACGGACCCATTAAGTTAATTACTGCCTTGGAGTGTACAGATCTTACTCAGCCCACGCCATGAGACTACAAGCCACCTGTGTTAGCCTGTGGCTCTGGCTACAAACCACCTGTGTGAGCTCTGTGCCACGGGGAGTTGTGCTGCCTCACTGCTAAGGTGCTGCTTCTGTCGGTAAGCTCCCTTAAACTCTCGATGGAGTTTTGGCGTTGTCAGCCTCTTTCCGTAGTCTCTTGGCCTTGGATAATTTTCCCAAAACTAATGTAAAATGTTAATAATAGGAGATATTGGTGTGGGATAAGATAACATATGACTATTGACTTAACAGAAACAATGAAGGTTAATTTCCTGTTTCTCCATATACTTCCTCCCATGAGTTGCTCCCTGTACTTCATAACCCAAGAGAACACTTTCGTGTGGGAAGGTACGAATGGTGAAATATGAGCTGTCTAAGAAAGAGTGTGTGTGGGAAAATAAAAATAAAAGCAAGATCTGCCCCTTACTGATGCCACTTCTGCTTATTTGTACTTCCAGACTGTGAAGGTTAGCTTGAGTAAGGCTAATACTGAAACAGAATTATTTTGAAGGGCAAAATGCTACCAAATATATTTTAAACATAATCTGGGATGTGTAGGGATAAAGACTAAACAATTTAAAGGATTTTTTCTTGGAATTTCATAATCTGGATATGATCTGATGCCAATGTTATGTGGTTGTTAAAAGGTCTAAAATGTAATAATCTTTAACATCAAACTAAAATCTTTACTCTAAAAGGCCTTTGCCCTGGCCTGGTGGCTCAGTTGGTTGAAGTGTCTTCCTGTGCATCAGATTGCAGGTTCAGTCTCCATTTGGGGTGCATTTCTCTCATCACTGTTTCTCTCCCTCTCTCCCTCCTTCTGTCCCTCTCCTTCCTCTCTAAAATCAATGAAAATATCATGGGATGAGGATTAAAAAAAACTTGAAAACTCATGAAGGTTTCCCCAAACAGAAAGACCGTGAAGACACTCGAGTGCAGTTGAGTCAGAAACACCGAGAAAGGGCTGGACAAGGGGGCTGACAACTGGAGGAAGAACACCACTAGAAGAGAGACAGGAACTCTGCCTTGCTTTTCATAGAACTGTTAGGCAAATGTTGACTTGTAATTAGAGCTGCTGCAGACAGTGAGTGGCTAAGGCAAACAAAAGGAAACTGCTACTTACTGCACCCATTTCAGTTTCAGGGTTAAAGTCCTGGGTTGGCCAAAGAGCTCCTTTGTTTTTTTTCTCACAAGGGCTCTAGTGGTGCTTTGTTGTCTTTAACTTCACTCAGAACAGTTCCATGACACTGTATTGTGACAGCTGTCATATCAGCGTGCATTTAAAAAGAGAATTTATCAACTGGTGACTTTTGGGGCAGCCATTTTAATATTGAAGATGGAAGATAATATGCAACATTTCAGCATGTTATGCTTTACTATTTCAAGGAAGGTAAAAACACAACTGAAACACACACAAAAAAGATTTGTGCAGTGTACAGAGAAGGTGCTGTGACTGATCGAATGCATCAAAAGTGGCTTGGGAAGTTTTCTGGTGTTGTTGACATTCTGGCCAAGTAATTCTTTGCCGTGGGGCTGTCTTATGCATTGGAAGATGTTTAGCAGCAGCCCTGACCCCTACCTACCAGAAGCTGACATACTCAAAGCACCCAAATTAATCAAGTCATTGGGGAAAATGAAAAATGTCTTTTATTTTATGGAAGAAACTGAACAGACTGTTTGGCCAACCCAGGAACTTGGCAGCCCTGCCCAACCGCCCTGTGTAGCCTCATGGCCACGTGGATGCTCCCAGCAAAGCAAACGAGCAGCAAGAGAACCAGCGGTTGTGAGGCAACCCTCCTGCCGAACACTGGGATGTGTTAGTGAAAACAGGGGCATGGGCTCTTCTCGACCATAATCTGACCAATTAATGAAGATGTGAATGACAGTCTTTACCACAGTCAGTCCTGCTCCCTTCAGATGTGTCCTTTATCCCTGCGGTAACCAGTCACATGTTCTCTCGTGCCCACGCCCCTGCAGGCACTGGAATGCTACCAGAAAGAAGTGCCTGTCTGGAATGCTTCTATCGAGTCAGTGACAGTCGCTGTTTAAACCTTAAGGCTCGGGTTGTAGAGTCGCTGATTTCCTAATTTCCTGCGTCATTATAGACAAGCTATTTTACTTTCTGGACGCCAGTGCCCTCATCTGTAAAACAGGAAAACAGGTAAAAATATGACCACTGCTAGCTCTAACTCCACAGTAAACTGTATCACAAATTTATATACTTTATATTTCCTGAACACAGGTGTTCATGTACCTTCTTTTGCTGGGCTTTTCAGATGGGCCTGTAGTATAAGAAAAGGCTAAGGAACCACTGATAAAATGCTAAACAGATAAATGGTACAAAGTTGTCGTTTTTTTTTTAAAGGTGCTCATTACAATGCAGCTCTTAAGTGAACTGGGTTTTCTGAATACCTTGTCTAAAATAAAAATCAATGTGCTGTTTTATTAATTAAATGTAGTAAATTCGGAGTTGGAAGGAGCATTCACTGGACAAGTTAAATCCAACTGTAGGAAACAGGGTACACTGCATCGGGTCTCAGAATATGTTTTTCACTAGAACTGTTCACATGCCATTCTGGCTCTTCTGACCTGGATTCCCCTATTCAGCTGCCTCCCTCACACCTCCCCTTCAGTGCCTCAACCTTCCCTTCCAAATCTATTCTCCCTCCCGCTTAGTCCTCATTCTGTAAGTGAGGAAACACTAGGGACATAATTCCTCAAACCACAACCTAAAGTCACCCCTGATGTTGCCTTCTCATTGACCTGCCACCTACCACCAAGTTGTAGCAAACCAATCTCCAAATCAATCTCGTCACCCCTCCCTCTTTACCCCTAACTCCTTTGCAACCTCCCCTCCCCCAAGTCAGACTGAAACCATTATTTGTTGTAGCTAGTACCTCTGCAACAGATTCTTATAAGGTCTTAATTCTTCTGGCAGTTTTATAGCCCTCAGAAAATCTGGGCAGAGTGGAAATCAGACCCTGTTATCTCCCTACTTGGACGTTTTCCATTGCCTCCCACTGAATTTCTAAAATTCCTTAAAACTAAAATCCCACTGATTGTGACCATTTGTTATGTAAAGGTGGGTTTAACTTTTTAAAAAAGTTAACAACCCTAGAATTTATGTACTTAGTGACTGCACTTTCTGGGAGTCACTCAAAGGAATGGAAGGGAAACGGAATTAAGGCAGGTCTTTCAACAGAACGCCACCAAGCATTCTGGGGAAGCAGGTCACTCAGGCGAAAATCCCCTGGCGACTGGAAAAGAATCCCCCGCAAACCTTGCCCACCCGGCGACGGAGGCCCAGGCAGCCTTGCTTCTCTGTGACGCACCCCCGCGACCCAGGCTGCCTGGGGTGCAGGGCGCCGCTCGTTTTCCTGGAGCGGAACTCCAACAAGGTGGGTCACCACCGCACAAAGCAGGGGAATGACCCCCAACCGGAAGCAAGTAAACCAGGGTCTCAACTCTCAAATGCAAACTGCACCGAAGTCACTGTCGCTAGTGACTTGCCTTGCAAGTATGTCTTCTCCTTAACTCCAACAATTTTGGGTTGGGTGTTTTGTTTTTTTAAAGTCCCCTTTATTGCTGATGAGACTAAACTGTAAACCCAGCACCCCCGACTCCCCTCTGAGACCAGACATGAAATCAGGCCTCAGCAGGGCAAGACCGACAAGGGCGAGGAGGGGCGGGAGGATGCTCACCTCGGAGAAGGGCCATGGCAGCAGCAGGAGCAGGCAGCACTGGGTTTCTCCTCCAGCAAAGCCTAGAGGCAGCGGCCAAAGCCGAGACCTTAAGGGCAGGGGGTGGTGCCTGCGAAGTCACGCCCCCGCCCTTTCACCTACTTCCTCCCCGCGAGGCCCCTCCGCCCCCCCCCCGCCGCCCCCCGCCCCCCCCCCCGCAGGCCGCGTGCGCCAGTGCGGGTACCCCGGGACTGACACGCACGCCTCCCCGCCCCCGGAAACGGGTCTTGGAGAAAAGATCGCTCCTTGCGAGTGGGTTTTTCTCCTCACATCCTCGTTTTTAAAGGCTTTACGTGTTTCCAAAGCGAGAGAATGATTTGACTCTACCCTACCCACCCTATCCTTGGCCTCTGTAAGTAAACACCCCACCCTTCAACAACAGCTAATTAACGTTTCCCTCCATCACGCCGGCGAATTAAAAGTTGGACTAGACAGGCGGCCACAGTACTGCCGGCAGTGCGAGGCGGAGGCGGGGTGGGGGGCAGAGCGGAAGTCGTGTGGGCGGCCCTTTGAGCCGACAAAGGGCCGAGGGCCAGTGGCTCCAGGGTCGGTTGGTTGCAGGGTGGGGGTGGGGAGGGTGGTGTAGGAGGGATGCCGTAAGGGGAGGGTCGTAGGGCAGGGGAGCCCCCGGGTCCCGGTTGTGGCCCCCAGGATGAGCCCGCAGTATTTTCCTTATATGATTGGGCCCTGTGGCTGGCGGCGCCGCTTGCCCGGGGCCTAAAAGGATTATGAGACCGCGCCTGGCGAAGTGGGGCCGGGGAACCGGGGGCGGGGAGATGAAATGAGCGAGGGGTTAGGCTAGAGATGGGGGACGTTTAGGGAGGCCTCTTCCGCTGTAACTGTGAGCCCTGGTCGATGATGACGAGACCACTGCGCAATCTGAGTTCTGGAAACCAGGTGATGGAGTGTGTTCTTGAGAACAGACTGAGACCGGGCGAGCAGGAGGCGACCGGAGCAGAGATGCGGGAGATCCGCGTCGCCGGGGCTGGAGGAGAGCCGGGCTGCTCAGGGCTTAGTTCAGGGGATTGGGAGGCTTTGAGGTTTTCTGGGAGCCATCAGAGAATGCGGTCCCGGAACCCCGCTTTTCAAACGCCTTGGTGGCCCTCTCTCGCACTGTGTTTGTTTTCTGATTCCATTATTGTTTATTATGAAAACTTTTGAACGTACAGAAAGTAGAAAGATGTTTACAAGGAACACCCACACACCCATCACCTGTATTCTACAACTGTTAACACTGCCGTGTTTGCTCTGTCACATCCGCCTATCTGTTCTATCAAACCATCTTATTTTTTTAGGCAGACCTTAGTACAATTCACCCACGCTAGAGGTCAATATTTATTTAGTTTTGTTTTTTTTTTAGGAAAAATCCCCACGCAAGCAAATGTACAAATCTTAAATCGGATGAGTTTTGCAAATGTATACACTTTTTTAAAAAGATTTTATTTTTATTTATTTTTAGAGAGGGAAGGGAGGGAGAAGGAGAGAGAGAGAAACATCAATGTGCGGTTGTTGGGGACCATGGCCTGCAACCTAGGCATGTGCCCTGACTGGGAATGGAACCTGCGACACTTTTGGTTCGCAGCCCGCGCTCAATCCACTGAGCTACGCCAGCCAGGGCTTAATGTATACACTTTTTAAAATTGTATTTTATTCATTATACTATTACAGTTGTCCTGATTTTTTCCCCCTTTGCCCCACTCCCGCAGCCCCACTCCCTCAGGCAATCTCCACACCATTGTTCTTATCCATGGGTCATGCATGTAAGTTCTTTGGCAACTTCATTTCCTATACAGTACTTTATGTCCACATGGCTGTTGTGTAACTACCTGTTTGTACTTCTTAATCCCCTCACCTCCTCACCCATTCCCCCACAGCCCCCTCCCACCTGGCAACCATCAAAATGTTCTCCGTATCCATGATTCTGTCTCTGTTCTTGTTTGCTTAGTTTGGTTTTTTAGATTCAATTGTTGATAGATAATGTATTTATTGCCATTTTATTTTTCATAGTTTTGATCTTTTTCTTAAGTCCTGTTATTCTGCATATAATAATGGTTTAGTGATGATGAACTCCTTTAGGTTTTTTTTGTCTAGGAAACTCTTTATCTGCCCCTCTATTCTAAATGATAGCTTTGCTGGATAGAGCAGTCGTGGCTGTAGGTCCCTGCTTTTCATGACTTTGAATACTTCTTGCCGGTTCCTTCTAGTCTGCAGAGGTTTTTGTTTTTTTTTGTTTGTTTTTTGAGAAATCAGCTGACAGGCTTAGGGGAGTTTCGGTGTAGGAAACTGCTTTTCTTTTGCTGCTTTTAAGATTCTCTTTTTATCTTTAACCTTTGTCGTTTTAATATGGTGTATCCTGGAGTGGGCCTCTTTGCATCCATTTTGTTTGGGACTCTGTGCTTCCTGGTTTTGCATGTCTCTTCACCAAATTAAGAAATTTTTCTTTCATTATTTTTCTCAAATAGATTTCCAATTTCTTATTCTTTCTCTTCTCCTTCTGGCACCCTTATGATATGAATGTTGGACCATTTGAAGTTGCCCCAGAGGCGGCTTATACTATCGGTGTCATTTAAAAAAATTTGTTTTCTTGTTCTGATTGGTGGTTTTTGCTTCCTGATGTTCCAAATCATCGACTTTATTCTTGGCTTCATCCACTCTACTGTCGTTTCCCTGTAAATTGTTCTTTATTTCAATTATTGTATCTGCCTTTGTTTCTGCCTGGATCTTTTTTATGCTGTTGAGGTCCTCACTAAGTTCCTTGAGCATTCTTACAACCAGTCTTTTGAACTCTGCATCTGATAGATTGCATATCTCCATTTTGTTTAGCTCTTTTTCTGGAGTTTTAATCTGTTCTTTCATTTGGGCCATGTTTCTTTGTCTTCTCATTTTGGCATCCTCCCTGTGTTTGTTTCTGTGTATTAGGTAGACCTGCTTTTACTCCATGTCTTGGTAGTGTGGCCTAATGTAGTAGGTGACCTGTAGGGTCCAGTGGCACAGCCTCCCCTACCACCCAAGCTGGGTACTCGAGGTGAGCCCCTTGTGTGGGCTGAGTACCCTCTCCTCTTGTAGTTGAGCCTTGGTTGCTGTTGGCAGATTAATGGGAGGGATTTACTCAGGCCAATCAACTGCAAGGATTGGCTGTGACAACTTAACCATCAGCCTCTGCCCCCCCTGGAGGATCAGCTGTGCAGGGGCAGGGTGGTGGTGCTCCAACATGGTCTGTAGTTGTCCACTGGGCACACTGCCCCTGGAGTTTCCCGGGTGGTGTAGGCCAAGGTCAGCCACTACCTACGTTCTGCCTGAGACCACCCTGCCTGAGCCATAAAGCAATCTGAGATGGCTGCTACTTGTGCTGGGCTTGGAGATTCCCAGGCAAAGTCAAGCTGTGAATTCTGGGCTGCTGCTGCTGGTGCCAGGCCTGGGGCTCACTGAGGCCAGCTGTTGCTTGTTTGAGAGGGTTTAGGAAGTTGTGCTGTATGAGCCAAGACCGGCATGGTCTTTTCATACACTTTTCAGAAGGAAAAGCAGCTTAGGTGGGCCCTTAAGTTGGGTGGGGCAGTCTCTGGGGGTCTCCAAGGTGGATCAAACAGTGTTAATGAGGTTGATGGAGTCTCACATATGGTATCAGCTTGCTGGCTTTGTGGCCCCATGTGGGGAGGATTCAGAGAAGGGACAATGGCCTCTGCTCACCTGTATGTCAGACTCTTCAGTTTCTCCCAGTATGCTACTGGTGCCTTTCAAGCTGCTGCCCCCGTCCTGGAGCACAGAGTGAGTTTGAGTAGGTGAGTCGGTATATGCGTTCTTTGAGAACTGTTTGGGGCTCCTGAAGTTTCCACTGACTCAATCCCTACTGGTTTTTGCAGCCAGAAGTTGTGGGGACTTATCTTCCTGTCACCAGAACCCTGGCTGGGGGGCCTGGTGTGGGGCTGGGACTCCTCACTCCCATGATATTCCCTTCCATATTTTTATCCACCACACGTAGGTGTGGGACCAGCCTATTCCACATCTGCGCCCCTCCTATCAGTCTGGATGGGTGTGGTGTCTTTAATTCTATAGTTGACAGATTTCCATTCATCGCGATTTCTGACACTTCTATGTGTTGGCTGTTCTGTATTTTAGTTGTAATTTTGATTTGGTTGTGTGAACCATGTCTGCCTATGCCGCCATCCTGGCCGGCAGTCAAATGTATACACTCTTGTAACCCAAACCACTGGTTATCAAACTATAATTAGAACATGTCCGTCATACAGAAAATTTGTTCATATCTTGCCCACCCTCCACCTCCCAGTCGGTCACTGTTCTGTTTTTCTCACCGTCTCTTGTAATTTGACCTGCTGGTTTACTTTTTTTTCTTTCTGTTGCTTTGAGTGAACCCTGAACTTTGGCAGTCAATTCAGTACATAAGTTCTGAGGGTCATTAACCCTTAAAATATATGCGTGCTCCTTTTTCACAAGTGTATATAATCAATGGAATTTGGAATTTAAGTGGATCAAAGCTTACCATATACTTGATGGTGATCTTTTTTCACCTGCATCTTCTGGATGATGAACAGGGAATAATAATAAAATAATAGCTACCATTTTTGGACACTGTGCCCAGCATTGTGTCAGGCACTTAACATACACAGGTGTGTAATTTGTGAATCTGAACTGAGGGACATTCTGCAGCCCCATGACTAGATTTTCCTTTCTCATTTTGTAAGTGGGGAAGCGTAGACCCGGAGAAACCAAAGAACTTCCAAGGCTTCAAATCTAGAAAATTGCTCTGTTGGGATTTGAGACTTAGATTCTCAGAACGGACCAGAAGTTTTGTGGGCAAGGCACGCAGCAAACACTAGGGGTGATCGAACGGTCTTGTCTGTAACATTAGCCCAGAACTACGAGTGGGTTTGTCAACATAGAAAACATTGGAACCTGTAGAGCATTTTTGGTGAGTTTATTTGAGCCAAACTGACAATTGTGGGGAAGCAAAATCTCAACGAAATTGAGAAATGCTCCCAAGAACGGCACCTTATTTTATACATTACCATCGAAAGAGGAGGCAGAGAGGGGTTACATCAAATCCATCGATAATAGCTTAGGAGGTGGGAGAAAGCAAGGGTGGGGGAACCTCTGCGATTGGATAAAGGGTATAACAATAGACACATCCTGTGTTCAGGTGGGAATAGGGTAGTTAACAACCAACCTGACAACAGCAATGAGGGGATTCATGGTCTCCCCCTGGTGCAGTGCCTGGGCCTTGAGGGGTCCAGAAGGAGAAAATTGACATTCCAAAGGTATGTTACCATAGGTGCAAAAAGGCATCAGACGGGCTCAGTTAAGGTAATGACTGACCTTTGTTGGTGAGCATCTTTATGACCATTTCTTTGAATTCTCTTTCTGGCAAATTACACATCTTTGTTTCGTTGGGGTTATTTTCTGGGGATTTTTCTTGTTCCTTCATTTGAGAGATATCCTGTCTTTCATCATGTTTGACATTCCACATTTGTTTGTATGAATTAGACAAAATAGCTCTCTTAGTCTTGAAAATGTGGGCTTGTGTAGAAGTGACCTCTGTGTACACTGTGCGCACCAGGCAGCTTTGGCAGGGCTGCCCGAGCCAGGCTGGTGCTTGCTGTGCCCGGGGTGCCAGCTTTGCTGGGCTGGAGTGGCTCTAGGCAGGGGGACCTGTTACGTCCTGTGATGCCCTGTTGACTCAGCCCTGTGTTTGTCCTGTGTTTGGGCCAGAACGGGCTGCGGACGGTTTGGCTGGGAAAGCTCTACCACAATCTTGCAGGTAGGCCAGAGCCTCGGGGTGGAGCCCACCCCCACCCCATTGAGGGAGAAGGTAAATAGTGCTCACCGTCTCCGCCAATCCTGGGGAGCCCCCACACATCCCCAGAGCTCTCAGCTGTCCCAGCCTGCTCCTCCAGTTTTTCCTTTGTTGTGCAGAGGCT